AACAATCAGATCTCTGATATCAGATGGAGCTTGGCCATTTAAGGCTTTATATGTGAGAAGGAGGATTTTAAATTCTATTCTTGATTTAACAGGAAGCCAATGAAGAGAAGCCAGGATAGGCGAGATATGATCTCTCTTTTTAATTTTCATTAGAACTCTTGCTGCAGCATTTTGGATCAGCTGAAGGCTTTTAACTACAGTTTGTGGACTTCCTGATAGTAAAGAATTACAATAGTCCAGCCTTGAAGTAACAAATGCATGGACTAGTTTCTCAGCATCACCCCTGGACAGGATATTTCTAATTTTTGCAATGTTCCTCAGATGAAAGAAGGAAATTCTAGAAACCTCTTTGATATGGGATTTAAATGACAGGTCCTGATCAAAAATAACACCAAGATTTTTTACTTTATTATCTGAAATCAGTTTAATCCCATCCAAATGAAGTGACTGGCTAATCAGTTTCTTTTTCAGAGACTCTGGTCCAAAGACTATAACTTCTGTTTTGTCTGCATTCAGAAGGAGAAAGTTAAGAGTCATCCAGGTTTTTATGTCTTCAGACATGCCTGTAATCTATGTAATGGGTTAGCTTCATCTGGATTTATAGACAGATATAGCTGGGTATCATCACTATAACAGTGGAAATTAATCCCATGCTGTCTAATAACTCTACCAATTGGGAGCATGTATAAAGTAAAGAGAATTGGTCCTAGCACTGATCCCTGTGGTACTCCACAGGTAACCTTTGAGCGTGTTGAAGATCTATCATTAACATGAACAAACTGAATTCGATCAGATAGATAAGATTTAAACCAGTCTAGTGCTGTTCCTTTAATTCCAACAAAATATTCAAGTCTTTCTAAAAGAATATTATGGTCAACTGTATCAAATGCAGCACTAAGATCCAACAGGACGAGCACAGATACAAGTCCATTATCTGAGGCCATGAGAATATCATTAGTGACTTTCACCAGAGCTGTTTCAGTGCTATGATGAGCTCTAAAGCCAGACTGAAACTCTTCAAAAAGTTCATTATGGTGTAAGTGACCGCACACTTGTTTGGCAACTACTTTCTCAAGAATTTTGGATAAGAAAGGAAGATTGGATATAGGTCTATAATTGACCAAGTCATCTGGGTCAAGAGACGGTTTCTTAAGCAGAGGTTTAATTACAGCAACCTTAAAAGCTTTAGGTACATATCCCTGTAACAGAGATAGATTAATCACATCTAAAAGGGAGGAGGAGATCAAAGGGAATACCTCCTTAAATAACCTGGTTGGAACTGGATCTAACATACAAGTTGAAGGCTTAGATGAAGACAATAATTTTGCTAATTCAGAAAGTTCAACTGGATCAAAGCAGTCTAAACCCGGTTCAGATTCCATGACTACCTCAGGTACAATCGCGGATAGAGGAGTGCTTATGATCTTATTTTTAATAAGATCAATCTTATTTATAAAGAATCCCATAAAATCATTGCTGCTAAGAGCAGGTGGAATGGACGGTTCAACAGAGCTATGGCTCTGGGTGAGTTTGGCAACTGTATTAAAAAGAAATCTAGGATTATTCTTATTCTCCTCTATTAATGAGGAGAAGTATGCTGCTCTTGCTTTACAAAGAGTCCTCTTATACAGCAGTAAACCATTTTTCCAGACTAGGAAGGACTCTCGCAGGCCTGTGGAGCGATATTTTCTCTCCAGTTTCCTAGCATTTTGCTTCAAAGTACGCAGCTCTGCATTAAACCAAGGAGCAAGCTTTCTATTTTTAACGGTTTTCATTTTCAAAGGAGCTGCGTTGTCTAAGGCAATACGCAGAGAACTAGCAACCCCATCAACAAAATCATCAACCTGTGAAGGGGAATAAGCTAAGCTTTTGCACTCTGCAGCACTGCTAAGCGACACAGAGGAGAGAGAAAGTGAAGCAGATTCTTTAAAATTCATAAGTGCACTATCTGATAAAGATCTACTAAAATTGAACCTTCTTTTGGGGGAGGAGAACTCTGTTAAAGTAATCCTGAAGGTTATTAGAAAGTGGTCAGAGAGGACAGGGTTGTGAGGAAATGCTGTTATTTCTTCACATTCTATGCCGTATGTCAGCACAAGATCCAAAGTATGAAGATGAGAATGCGTGGGACCACTCACACTCTGAACAAAGCCAATAGTGTCTAAGATAGCATTAAAGGCTGCTCTTAAGCTATCGCCTTCAATGTCAGCATGGATGTTAAAATCTCCCACTATGATGACCCTGTCAGTATTTAATACCAAATCAGAAAGGAACTCTGAAAACTCATCTAAAAATTCAGAGTAAGTAATGTGTGCATTGATGACTGAAAGACATCTTCTGCCTCCATTTATCTGTTTACTACAGTGCGTTTAATTCATGTTTATGTGTATTTAAAGACTTTTTAATTAGTGGAAAAATTGCAGGGGGGAATATTAAAAAAAGAGTGTTATCAACCAAAACTTTCGCGACCCCGTTGCAGTACCTCTGTGGAACCCCTAGGGGTCACAGACCCCCTGTTGAAGACCTACGTTCTACAGCACTTTGGTTAAGTTCTTATATTTAACATGTGTTCCACTAAATAAAGTAATTATAAATGTAAACAATTGAATTTCAGAGACACAAAAATGTTCTGAAGTTTTTAGCCTAAGGAGGTAATGACTAGCCAGAATAGCACGTTTTCTATTGCATTGTTTCGCTAGTAGGCGCTGACTTATTAGCTTGGTTAGCCATGTCACTACCAGATCCGTCCTGCACATGCACCACCAGCTCATTTGCGCATTAAGATATACATCTGGGTCGCCATAAAATTTATTTTTTTTAAAAGACCTAAATGCATTCTGACATGTATACCACAAATAAATAATACTACGTTTACTTCAGCGATGGTTTCAAGGTGTTACTTTATTGTATCTCTTATACTACATCCATTGGTTTTGCTGTTCTTTTACTTCTCTTTGCAGGTGATGAAGCAGACTGAAGATGTTTTATCGTTATCTCCTTTTTCTTTAATGTTTTCACCCTTTTCCTGTTTTTCCTTTCCTGTTCTACTTACATTGCAGTGTCTATACGATCTGTAATAATCTCTGCTTAATTATAATAGAGCTATTTATATGCATAAATCAAGCAAAATCACTGCTCCACTTGTGAAAGTAAAATCTGTTTGGTTCTTTTAGGCATCAAGACAATTACTCTTATTGCCACATTGCCAGACACTTAAATTACGTTTTTCCCTCCCCAAAAATAGTAAACATACTAAAATATAATGTGTTAAAGGTTAAAATTGTATTTCCTGAGAAAATACTTGCCTTAAAATCCTTTTTGTTTTATCAGTCATCTGTGTCCGATCTGCACCTGAGATGGGATCCTACGCTACTTCCACAAGCTAACTTTTTTGGCTTTGGATTTAAACATAAATCTAGTCTTTTTGAGTTTTAATGTTTTCCTTTCGTATTAACAATGGTATATAGTGCGTAATCTAAAGAATGAAACAACTAAAATGTAGATAAACATGGTTTAATCATATTTTGCCAGACTGCTCTGAGCGTGTCCCATGATGACGTCAGAGAAGCAGTTTAACCGAGAAAATGTAAAAAGCATCAAAATTGTCTCACAAAAGCCATAAAACATTTCTTAAAGATGTGTATTAGCATTCTTTAGAGAGTTAAGGATAGAAATAAGTAATTTTAGCACCAAAATGATATTATTTATGGACACCCGGATGTATATCTGGTTGCGCATGCACGGGACGGATTGCTCTTCTGGGACGGTTTGGGTAGTGACAGCCATCCTGATTTATTTTTGTCCATATCAGCAGCCGAATTCTCAGTAATGTAATTTTTGTTCTTTTTACTGCGCTGCAACCGGCACCATGCAAATTCAAGCAAAAAAAGGTGGTTCCACTTAAATGTTCATCTAGTTTGTCTCACTGGTTTCCCTGTCGTTACGAAATCATGTGTGTAAAAATGAAACAGGGCTAAAAATGCAGCGGGAAACTCATGTAAATTTATATTGACATGTTTGACAATCTAATAAACTGCATGAAGGTAAAGCTCATAGGTCTGAGTAAGAAAAAAAAAAGTCATTTTGAGAGTTTGTTGCGGCAAAAGACATAAACTGTTTAGTGAAGCATGCCCCCAGCTATTCCAGCCACTCTTTTAAACACAAGCTTAAGATGAGTCATTTGTTTTTTTACTTTGCTCAAAGTGTTTTATACAAATCCTGAAAAAGTTATTTGAGAGGAAAATGATATAGCTATGTTAGTTTATGCAAAAACGGCCATATGATCAAAATATGTTTAACAAAATACGTTTTTTATTAAATGTATAAAATGAGTTTTCCCTGCTCCACCTGCGAAAACAGATGATCAGTGTTCTCAATTGTGGCTTGGCAGAGTATTTATTTATATGCTTCAAGGATGCCAAAACTCAAACTAAAAGTAAAAACAAGTCCATCCCACATAACCTGCACTGCATGGAAGCTTCTGAACCTCTAAATCAGAAAAGTGGAAACAACATATCCTTCTAAATTCAGATGAAGAGAGGAGGGCTGACGAGCGACTCTCTCACTGCAAAAAACTTTTATCTGAAGAAGTCATGTTTTTCTTAAAATAAGTGCATTTTTTCTTGAATTGAGGAAAAAACAGAGACACTTTGCCAATTAAACAAGACAATTAACATTTAAAATAAGAAAAATAATTATATTACCTTATTTCAAGCGCATATTATCTAATTATCTTATTTTAAGAGTAAAAACACTCATTCCGTTACAAGTTCATCTTATTTATCTGCTGAAATTAAGGGTAAATACACTTAATTAAAGAATGATTTACTTATTTCTGGTTCGGTTTTGCAGTGCTCTTTCATTTTCCCCGATGCTTCCTAAACTCTAATCTTGACTAAAGATGCAAATAGTCTAAAAAACGTCCCCACCAAGTATTTGCATTTAAACAAATAGATAAAAGGTCATTTTGAAAAGCTGCCTCCTCATGACTGCAGTGTGAGGTGGCATGTTCCATGTGTCCCTGCCCTCCTGACAGTGTGGTTAAAGCTCCCTAAGTGGCACGCCACTCAGTATGGTGCTGCTCTCCTGGATTGAGCCACTGTAGGCAAATACAGCTGAGGGAGAACAGAGCAGCCTCTGTGGGTGTGTGTATGAGAGCGTGCAACACTGTTCAGCATCATCATGGATACAGGTAAGTCCCTCTCATTCATATATTAACTCTCTTTTCCTAATAGAAATATTGCAAATGTCAGTTATATTAAGATGACAGAGTTTTATTTTATGCTGACATGCCTTATTTTTACATTTTAAAGAACTTGGTCTGGGTAATGATCTTCCTTATGTGTGACAATTTATACCTGAAACCTGTTAGATTATGTGTCTCTTTGCATTGAGCCCTGCTTCCACTAGAAATATGTCTGCTGACAAAACGTATTCTAAATGTATTATTCTATATAATAAATGAAGGATTTTTGTATCGTTTTGTATTTGGGAAAATCAATAAAACTCATGACTTCCTTTCCACAAAAAAAAAATGAGGAATATATACATTTATTTCAAATTCAGAGTTTTTTATTTTAATTTTTTTTCAAGAATCTCTTAGCTGGGCAGATTGGGAGCTTATCTAAAATATCCTTTCAAAAAGCTGGGGTCTTTTACATATAGTTTTTTGCATGCAATTTCCGTTTGCATAATAAAGTTTGCATTTTCATTGAGTTTGGACCTTTGCTTCCCAGGAATGTCCCCAAATCACACCAGCACCGATGTCAGATTTATTAAAACAAATGCGGAATAAGCTGGTTAATAAATAAATGCGATTTCTCATTTTTTTATTTCTTTTTTGTTAATGTTCCCCTAAAGCTTAGTTTATTGCCTGGTGGAAATCAAGTGTTTTTTAAGTTAATTGCTTCATTTTAGCCATCCATTTGCATTAACCAGACCAAGGGACATTTCCATGACATTTATACACACAATCCCAAAGAGTCATTCGCCTATATGCATAAAACTGTGAAGCATTCAAATGAAGACACATTTGTGGGGATGGATGAAAATTTGTATGAATTTGTGTTGGAGAATGAACTGTTTCTCCATATGTTTCCTCTCAGTGGCTTTTAATCTCTGCTCTCCAGAATATTCCAAGAGAGTGTACCAGGGTGTCCGGGTCAAGCACACGGTGAAAGACCTGCTGGCGGAGAAGCGATCCCGACAGACAAACGGGCCCAGATATAACGTAAGCACGGATCATTTTGCTATTGTACGCTCCTGTGCCGTCTGTCCTCGTCATCTTTCATAAACCAAACACTGTAGCCACAGTTGACATTCAGTTAACAACACAATTATGCCGTCGCCTTTAAATAGTATCCTCTCCCTGTTTACATATGGTGTTGTTTTGTGCTCTAATGAGCCAATGGGTGATCCGTTGACCACCTGTACCTGCCTCCTCCCTCTGTTTCTGCTGCCCTCAAGCACTCATAAAGCCCATCTGTAAATACCTGTGCATAGTGTGTGCAGATAAAGACCTCACAAAAGAACATTGACACAATGCGTGCAAAGGCAATGGCCGTGATCTTCCAAAAACTCCCTGGAGGTGGAGGTGGAGGCGGGGTGGGAGGACAGGGAGCGAAGGGGAGACAGAGAAAGAGCCGATGCAGGAGGCTGCCTATGCAAAGTTTGATTAACACACACCTGCCAGCCGATATTGTCCTCTGCTATGAGCGAGCTGCAGACAAACCTCCTATTGTTGTCAAACACACACACACACACACACACACACACACACACACACACACACCCACCCACACACAACCCAGCATGTACATACAGACAAATCTGACTGTATCTTAGATGTCTGCATGCAGGAGCAAGACTGGCTTTTCATTACCACCAATTGCACGTCAAAAGGCTTTCATGGCACCCTATTTACTCACTGGTTTCCCTCTAATGCTGGCATGTCCACTCTGCAGATATGCAGACTGCTCTCCACTCAGTTGGTTGGAGGATAAACTGGTATTACAACAAGAAAAAAATCTCTACATCTTTACTTTCTATTCTGAAAATGCTTGATGATTTCCAAAAGGTTCCAGGAAGCTTTTTCAATTCAAAATGTCTGGATCAGCGTTGAGTTCCAGGCTTTTATAGACGAGACCGAACAGAAGCCTTGTAATGGCTTAGAAAACATGCACACTGAAACTGAAACCCGATATTTGCCCATTCCTTTGAAAAGGCAGTCGTTAAGGGTCATAGTTGGCCTTACTGACCTGATGAGACATTTTGTTCCCCTGCATAGCGATGGGGGTTGAGATGGCATTGGGAAGGAATCAACTCTATCGCTACGTTGTGGGTTTTTGAGAGCTGAAACCTGAGTCCAGCCCCTCTGTTTAAGGTCGGTTTATCTCCTTTAACATAAATGGCTTCCTTCACAGCTCTTTCAAAACACCTGTCTTTTTTTTTAAATCTAAAATGTGATCATTTCAGCGGATGTAGGCTGTGGTTTGTTGGACAGAAAACAAGCTCTGCTCTGCCAGAACTAATAGGGTTTTATGCAAACACACAAGATGAATCATACACTGGGTATAAAGCTCTGTTTCAAACATAAATCTTACCGACAGCCTCAGACTTAATGGTTTATCTACTGAAACAGAAGATCTCTGTTCTAGTCTGGATTCACTGACGATAGTCATAACTTTCAACATCTCTACTTTTAAATCATAATGACCTAATAGGAACACTAGTACAAATCCTACTACAAACAGTAGAATTTGTACTTCTATTCAAGTAAAAAACATGAATACTTTTGACATCTGTGCCTATTTCAGTATTCCTCAGCTATATCTTCAATATAAGGTCAAATATTGAAATATAAGCCCTAAACTTACTGGTTTCTCATAAATATTTGTATGATATCAGCCTGGTACTAAATGTGTCAGAAAAAGATCTACTGTAATAAGCAAAAATATGGTTTCCCTCATTTAATTAACATGTAGTTATATATGTAACCAGGTTAACGGAGGTTATTAACCGTTGTGACATTTATTAACGACGCAGTTCTTCCTTCCTATAATTAAAACCTGTTCTACTTTACACATTTTCTAAAGATAAAATAAAAAACACCCCCTTTAAATTCTGTTGCTTTGCATATGTAAGCTTTAAGTGGCATATTAAATTATTCAGTAGCTTCCATTCTTTGATTTGGTTAATAGATAATGATATGTTAGGAATTGGATCTTAACTTTTTAAGTGTTGAAACCCAGAGAAAATAGTCGATCCTTTTTACCGAGACTGTGTGCTGAGCTCCATGTTGAAACAGATTCAAGCCCAAAGCCAAACATCAGTGTGAAAGGGGGGAGGGCAGATGCTTCAGGCGGGGTCAAAGGGTTTTTCATTCCATGGTTTTTACTAATATAACACACACTAAAGACTGTGGTCTGCTAAAAAAGCATAGGTGTTGAGGTGACTGCTGTACTTAGATCTGGGGCAAGTCGCAGGCTCTCAGTCTGGTGGTTCAGAATTCAGTTTCTGATCGCATTTTTTTTATTCATTTTCTTTGATGACCTGTTGCCGAAGAAATATAATACGTCAATAATTTCAGCTTTCTGATGATGGTAGAAACAACCTCCAAAAGCTGAAATTTTTCTTTTCAGCTCAGAAACATTTAGTCCCATTAAGGCCCCTTCCACATGAAGTCAAAACGAACACGAAACGCTAATATTTTCCAGAACGTTTGTCGTAAAGACGGAGACGTAAAATAAATGTGATCGACCACACAAATGCATGAAAACGCTGCAAAATGTATGCCAGGCCTGTAAGTGGCGCTGTGGTGCCAAAGCAAAAATAGGCGACGAAATGTTGGGCATGCGCACTAATATTTATACATGGTTGCCCTGCTTCCAGAAGAAGAAGATTCTGTTGTAAGCCCGACAGCAGGGTGAGTAGCATGAGCAGCAACGGCGCCATTGTTGTTGTTATACTGTGTCGCGCATGCGTGTTTAGAGGCGACGCTATGACGCATGCGTGTAAAAAAAAAAATGCGGTTAGAGCTTAAAGATGGAAACGCGAAAACGGCGTTTCAAAATCTTCCCACTCTGAAGGCTGAATAAAAAAAAGATCGTTTACAGACCCCGGAAACGCCGGCTTCGTATGGATGAGAGGCTGGTTTGGTGAAAAATGTGTGCGTTTAGGCCAGGGTTTGACTTCGTGGGAGGAGAGAAAGGAGGCCTCTGATTGGTCAGTTCTAAATCCTCTCAACACTAGGCGCATTACCCGTTTGCTACCTAATGGCAGAAACTCTGGCTGTAGTGCCGTCTACAACGCCTGGCACACCTCAGACACTACCCCAGACACCGCGCAGGACGCTAGTTTGTAGCTCTGTGCGACGGTCTGTTGGTTTGCCACGGCCGGTCTTTGGGGAACACTCACTGTGGAACTGTGTGTCGTCCGGCGTTGGATGAGGGGTTGTAGACGGCGAACAACCTCGTCAAACCGACATACGGACGCCCACAATCCTAGCTAGTTCCTGATTGTCACTCTTGTGTTGTGGCGTGGAATAACGTAGCTCAGACCGCGCTTCAATATTTGGCATCAGAAATATTTCCGTCATACCTGCGACAGGCTAACTGTGATACGTTGCTATGGAGGATACCCAGCCCTTTACAGTCAGCTAACTCCTTTTGCAGCTCCTCACCTGGTCACAACACAAACTATTTCTCAGCTGACTAGCAATAAATAGCATCAAAAGACCACGATGCGACCTGGGATGATTCCGATAACAAGTGGGATGCCTTCTTCGCCTGAAATGACGAATGACGTTCACAAATGACGAAATATCACTGATATAAACAAACTTCAGTTCCTAAATGTTATGGGCGCCACCATTTTTTTTGCGTAATTCCCTCCTTGAGAGATGAAGTATTGTGGACCTACGGTGGCCCTGAAGTGCAAACTGCAACTACAAATCTAAAAGCGAAAATACATTAAGGAAATCGCAACTACATAAAGCAAAGCGCAACTACATTAAGAAAAACACAATTACATTAACCTACCGGAAAAGGTAGGTACCAGTGGGAAACATGAGACATCGCTGATTGGACGACGGCGCCGTTTGACCCTTGAACCGGAAGTCATTCTGTCTGCTGCGGCTTTTGAAAACATGGATATTGTCGGCGCCCCAAACATAGCTGCCGTTATCCAGGAATATTTTGAATCAGGACATACGTACGAGGTGATACTGGATATGCTCAAGACTAATTACGAAATTTCAGTTAGTTTGCGTACACTGAAGACACACTTAAAAGAAGCTGGACTGTTCAGACGACGCAACTTCCGGTTCAAGGGTCAAACGGCGCTTTTCTTTATGTAGTTGCGATTTCCTTAATGTAGTTGCGCTTTTAGATGTGTAGTTGCAGTTTGCACTTCAGGGCCACCGTAAGGACCACACATAGGAGGCGAAGAACTGTGCTAGCGTGATGTGTAAATGGATGTAAGAACCGAGCTTGGCACGAGTAACTGATCCAAGGTCTGTCCGAACTCAGCGCGGATCGGTTTCAGAGGGGTAGTGGGAATGGGGCAATTAACAATGGAATGTTACAGGCAGTAAATCCAGCATATTCAATTTAAAGTTGTAATATAAAAATATATTTTTAGCAAGATAAAAGGAAATGATACATGCATCTTATATCCTTAATTTAATTTCTTTTAAAAATAAACTTCCCCAAAGGACATAAAATCTTGGCTCCTATTCTTTAGCTTTTCTCTTTGTTTGCTTCCATAGCTGCATTCCACCTTTATTCAACTTTAAACAGCTGTTGGTTGAAATGATCACATCACACAGTTATGCACATTTTCTAAGGAGATTTCATGTGAAAGCAGCAGAAGTCGTCCCATTTTGTCATTTATATTTGCTGTTTTTCAAAGCTGTTTGTTCTTTCGCTGTAGAATCTTTTTCACTGCTCTTGGCAAAATGATGCTGTCAAGGAACTGGAAGTGTGTAAACATATCCAATGACTGACATGGCTTTTAAAGTATGTAAACAGACTTTTCCAGTGATGCATATTTTGTCATTATTGCAAACATAAGCAAAAAGCTCCTAAACAATGTGACCTAGAAATACGTGCAGCGACAGCCACAGCGGTAAATGAGTTCAGGTTGTTTTGTTTCTTTGTCTTTTTGGACATTTGACGTTTGGGCATCAACACCACGGAGACAGAGAAGGAGCCGTCTGCATCAGAAAACTCC